ATAAATCAATTTGAACGATTATTTTTTTGTTGAATAGGTATTATCAAAAGGGTGGTTTCATGCGAATTTGAAGAAAATATTTCACCCCCAAGGGTGGAAAATTGGGGATGAACTTTTTATACGCAATTTTTTTAATTTTTAGTTTTTTTTGTGTTCACGCATTTGAAGTCGGTTTTATTTTTTAAAAAAGTTATGTCGATATATTATTATCACGCTACATTCGCGGTAGAGACAATTTATTCTAGTTCAGTGTTTTCCAAACTTGTTCTGATACTATTAAAGTTTAAACTATTATGTTGCACTTTCACTTTAAATTATTTTTTAAGTGTAATGTTGCAAAATCCCGTAACAGTGATAATTTATTGTTCTGAGGTGGAATTGTGTAAAGCAATCGTAATCATTTGACAGTTCATAAGTGCCACTTGTGGTCTAAACTGAATAAATATATTTGATTTTGATTTTGAGTTCATAACGTACGATTATTCTGTCAAACGCTTTGTTTAACTGACTTTATCGTACGTTATGAACTGTCAAATGATTACGATTGCTTTACACAATTCCACCTCCGATTCTTCTATAATAAGAATAACATGTTGGTTTATGACAAACAAAAAAACAAAAATCTCATTAAAATTGTAGGAATGTAGGTGTCGTAACCACTTCAATGAAAATTACTGTGTTAAGTTTAGAACTCCGAAGTCAGTCAGTGTTAAAAGTAATCATAATATGTAGCAACAAAGCTTTCAATTTTTCCGACTTCTACAAAATGAGGAGGTTTTCAACTCGGTTGGTATGTTTTGTTGACAACATTGGATTTTGGTACAGCGGCGCGCTCAGATTGCCTTATCAATTTCGGCTCGTACGAGTATGTAGCGCCGGGTGCCAGATAAAGGGAAGACGAACGAGCGCGCGTCATCGATCACGCGAATAACGGGAATGAACCATCGCGCTATGTACACGAGCGTGCTTGATCCTTTAGGGTCGACAAATCGATCAATGGCGCAAAATTATCACGTTATTATAACACAATGATACAGACCGTCAGAGGTTTATAGTGGTTCACTATTAAATTTTGTTTACAGTATTTCGACAAAAATATCCAGTTAGTATACTCGGGACTATTGCCATCTCTCGTTGCCACCGCTGCAACTCCTGTGTAGCCAGAATCTACAGCTTGACCGCCAATAAAAACCCAACCAGTGAAGGTCAAGTTTGTCCCAGGATAAAGTTAAACTGAAGAATTAATCAGAAGAACATATTTTATGAGGAGTTCGAAGTTAAGGTTCGACTTCCCTCCATTGCAAGCGGATTACAGGACACAAACAATTAAGGGTTTAATAACCTTCATGAAAAGATATGCCCCACGGAAAATTAATATCAATTAAGGGGACCTATCTTATAAGCAATTCGCTGCCTGTCAATAATATTTTTTACAAAATCACTTAAAAGCACGGAAACAGTAGTTAGTATACTCGTAAGATATTGTTGAATGAAAAATGTTTTTTTTTGGGAAAAGGGGGTTTCAGTAGCTGGGAAGGAAGGAGAGGCAGGTCGGTTAATGCGAAGGGTCAAAGACTCCGCCCCGAATCTTGTCTCTATGCAAATGTAATGAATATGCATCCGACCAAGACCCAAAGTCAATTTCATAGAGCACCTATGTCCCTTATGCCGTGTGTGAATGTTTTTTTATATTACATAATATTATACAAAGCCACGATAGCCGAACGGTGAAGGGGTCGGACTGGTCGACTCTTGATCCGGAGAACGCGGGTTCGGTCTCCGCCGCCGGTCGACTTTTGTGGTAAGCTCACTCGTGACAAAAGCATATTATTATTTAGCTTAGTCTCTCTTCTCTTGGGGCTAAAAAAAATAAACTTAGAAATAGCTATAAGAAATAACTTTTGTTGTAAGCTTAGTCATGTTTAGGTCTGTTCCATGCACTTTAACTGACATCACAACAATGGGAAAATCTCATATTTCTGCGAGCGTGCACTTAACGTATAATATCGTATGACTTGAGGAGACCACCGGCCATCAGGAAAACAAATGGACCTATTTCGGAATTAACTGACGCTTACACAAAACTATGTTCTCTATCATCGACAGCTATTTAAATTTATTATGAGCACATTATTATAAACACTGTTGAATTTTATGTTTACCAAACTTGCATAAATTTTCTTGAACACAAAACTTCATTTTTTATGTTGTTTAAATAACTTATGTTAATTTTTTTTTAAATATCCATAAGGTAGGTACTATAGGGAGATAATATTAATCTATGCATTTTGCGTAATATAAATCCACTATACCTATTATCCTATTGTCATATAAAGTTTCCGTATCACGGTAAATACCGTTCAACAGCGGAAAACTTCTGTGACCAAAAAAAGACAAGACAAACGACCGCGGCAAATCAAAGAAGATTTACTAGTCCGATACAGCGGGTCTACTCACTAGTCGACAGTGATATCATCTATTCCAACCGGTTCTCTCTCGCGAGGCCTCCTCCAAGCATGAGTGAGGGAGATGAAGCCTCGATTTCGAGTTCGACTCCAGAGCAGGCCCCATTCACATTCGGGAAGATTATTAGTACAGCGTAATGGTACCATTTGTTCTTCAATTATATTCTAAGCTATACACGCGAGCATAAATTATGCTACTTGAAATAGAACAGCTAGCTTTATTCGTATAAAATTATTATATTTTGCAAAGTAATTACATTGTAGTGATACAGAATAACAATAGACAACTAAAGTTATCACCAAGGGAATGAGTTAATATCACTGCCAAAATAGAACTAAAAGCTTCAGAGGAAAGTAGGTAGGTATTAGTCAAGAATTTGGCTAGAGCACGTTTTCACGTGGTGTGCGCGTGACGTGTTCCATGCGAAGTATAAAAACAAGTGGGTAAATCAAACAACACATGTCCCGTCCCTTCTACGCCCCTTAGTAATGTTAACACGGTAAAAATAAAAGTTTTCTATTTACATATTATTTCAATAAGACAAAAAAAAAGTTGTAAACAGAATAATAAAATGCTAAGGCATGTTTGATCTATTTGGTCGTCCCCAGTGGTTATTAGCAATCAGTCGTTTAGAGACGTGTTATATTGCCAGTGTCCGCGCGTTGTTCGGCGCCGAGACATTAGCTCGGTATTTACCCCATTGATCTCAAGCTCGCAGCGTTGATCTACGGTCGTCATTCGTTCCGATACGAAAAATATGGCGCATTCAATTATAATTCAAAAAAATAGCCTGGAAATACCAACAGGTGCTCCGTACCCATGAAGGTTACAAGCACAACCTTATTGAACATTGAACAACAACGTCAACAACTAATCAATTTATTATCAAAAATTACAAAAATGCAATAGTACGCCAAAAAAATAAAATTTTACGTCAAAAATAGTAAAAAAAAAAACAAAAATCAAAAATATTTATTCAGTTTAGACCACAAGTGGCACTTATGTATCGTATCCCAATGGAAGGAAATAGCCTAAATTAACAGTTAATATTAGAGTTATTTTTATACGATAGATTGGAATTGTTCTTCTTTATGTAAGGAAACAGCAAATTCCGCAACTGAAATATGACATGAAATTCCGCAACTGAAATATCACTAAAACTTTTAATCTTTTAAACGTAAAGAGTACAACTGATATCTGGGGCATCTCTGTCAAGATAGTCAAACACATTATTGATATAATTTCCCCACAGTTAGCGATAATATTCAATAATTGCATAGAGAAGGGAATCTTCCCCGACCTCATGAAACATAGTAGACTAATGCCATTATTTAAGTCTGGTAGCAAAACCGACCCTGGCAATTATAGACCCATTTCTATCTTGCCCGCTCTGAGCAAGATTTTTGAAAAAATCATACAGGAGCAACTTATGATTCACTTTGGCTCTAATAAACTGTTTCATAGTGAACAATATGGTTTCACCAAGGGTCGTTCCACCACCGATGCAGGGGTTGCACTACTTAAACATATCTTCGAGGCTTGGGAGAATTCTCAAAATGCACTAGGGGTCTTCTGTGATCTCTCAAAAGCTTTTGACTGCGTAGAACATCAAACGCTAATTCGCAAACTGCACTATTATGGGGTAAAGGACTCGGCTTTGGATTTAATACAATCCTATTTAAACTTTAGAGTTCAAAAAGTTGACATAAATGGTGTTTTGTCTTCTGGGTCACCTGTGAAAATGGGAGTTCCGCAGGGGTCCATTCTGGGTCCATTCTTGTTTCTTATATACATTAATGATCTACCATATTTTGTTAAGGACTCTTGCGAAATCGTGTTATTTGCTGATGACACATCTTTGATTTTTAATATCGAGCTTGGCTGTCTGAGTTGATGTAGATGTGTTGATCCTGGAGCTTCCTTTCCAAGTTTATCTCTGCACATTTGTTTATGGCAAAGACCTCGGCTTGGAAGATTGAGGCTTCAGTCCCCATGTTAAGGCTAACTTTGAGCTTAGGCCTCTCTCCGTAGATCCCGCAACCTACATTATTTTCCTTTTTGGATCCGTCCGTGTACCAGACGTGACTACCTTCCTTAAATGACATTTGGCCTTCTAGCCATTTGTCTCTAGGAGGTATGTTTACGGAATATAGTTTGGTGAAGTTACATTCCGTATGCATGTCGTCACTGGGCATGCACAGAAGTTTGTTTTCAAGTACTGATTCCTTGAGTCTTATCAGATTTTGAGAAGCCCATCTGACTTTCGTGCGGGTGCAGATTCTATATGTGCTCTGCTTGGCTTCTTTTTGCACATGCATATGCAGTGGTATAAGATCCAGCAGAGCATTTAATGCAGCCCCTGGTGTCGTTGATAGTGCTCCGGTTGCTGTGATGCAGGCTAGCCGTTGTAGGCTGCTCAGTTTCTGTATTGTTGTCACTTGGTTGACCTTTTAACTTTTTCGTAACGCTGTATTGTAGTTACAGGTTCAGCAGCAACGTAACTACTAACTGTAGTTACGCATTTATTGTCTAACCATTTCACGACACATAGCTTATTTTTATTACAGACAACTTGAGAATAAGTTCCCTTTGATTTTTTTTTCAAAACTTTATCCGGAAGTAGTTTATTTTCTGCGCCTCGCAATCTATTGGACCTAATGGTACCCAAAGAAAATATACCCATTTGTTCTCGTAAATAGTTTACCAACTCCATGCTAGTAAAAAAATTATCAAAATACACCACGGAACAAGCACGATCTGGTATATTTTTACATAAAGCCAAGACTATCTTTGCGCCAAGACCAAAGCTGGACTCCTCAGGTGTGAGAGGATCGTAGCGAAATGTATCTTCACCTCCATAAATAATGAAGTCGTACACGAAACCAGATATACCAGCGCGAACAAATATCTTGTAGCCCCACTTTTTCGGTTTATTTTTTACGTATTGTTTTCTGTTACCTGCTTTCTTTCCTTTGTATGGGACCATCATTTCGTCAACACTGAATCTGGTTTCGTGTGGGACATTCAAAAAGTTTTGACGTACTTTTTGTAACAAGGGCCTCACTTTGAAATATCGGTCACCATCATCTAACAAGTTGTTATTAAAATGAATATATATTCGTATCAATTGAAATTTTTTTAGTGGCATAATATCAGCAATAGCACCGTAGCGAAATTCACGTGACCAATAATCTGTGTATGCGGGTAAGTCGACAATTCCCATCAGAAGGTTTATGGCTATAAAATCAGTTATGTCCGCTTTGGTTATATTCAGGGGTCTACCTTTTTGTTGCAAGTAATACAGGTTTGTTTGTTCAGTTATATAATCAAAANTTTGACTTTGACTTTGACATGACCCACCGCTCTACATAAGATTAAGCCTCAAACATGGTAATATTAATCATCTGTAGCGATGTCGTACAAATCACGACGCGTCGTCTCCGCGACAACGCGACGGGCGGAACAAAGCGACGCGAAGGGACACCTTGGCAAGGCAATGGTCGCAAGTTCCCTACTGGCAGGAACACAAACTGGCAATTCGACGAAAACGCAGCCAACATACGATTCTTTGCCGAATTCGCTTTTGTGTTTGATTTTTATTTTTTCAACATTTTCATAATGTGAAGTTCATTTCAACAGTACGTAAATAAGTAAATATTTATAAAATAAATTAAAGGAAGACAAAACAAATTAAATTAAAAAATGTTAATGAGAATAATAATATTGCTATGGGTGGCATTATTCGTATGTCACATTAATGTTCTGATTGTCCCGTGGCAGAGAAGGATTACACCAGGGAAATGATCCCATAGAGCGCTTTTCCGTTTAGTGATTTAGCTGCTTGGCGGAGGCGGAGACACTTATACCACTTTTTCAAATATCTATTGGAAATAATCAAAGAAATAAGTGAAACAAATTGAATTTAGTAATGCTGGTAGGCCATGACGCTATCGTCGTAATAGCTAAATTACAATTTGACAAAAGACCCCTGCGCCCATTGCTGAGGCACTGAGCCCTACTGGCTGGGCGCCGGACGTCCCCTGTGAAGGCGGACATGGGACGCGAAATGGCGGAAAGTAGAGCAATTTGACAGGGACGGCTATTGACAAACATTAAGGAAGGACAAAACGGTCCGTCGATTATTTACATTCTATGTAGGTATATTGCTACTGGATGTAGATTCTAAGATTTCGGTAAGTTACGAAAATACTTTCACACATCAAATTACTCGTAACCATACGAGTAGTTCATGCTGCTGTCTAAATACGTGACTTGTATGCGTGTAGAATTTTTGGCACAAACCGTGCGAAGTAGTATTTAATTATGTATTTATAACACTTTTGATTTTGCACAAATTACTAATAGTCCCGTTAGTCCCTCGTGGTAAGCTAAATAAGCTTGTGTTACGAGTGGGCTCACCACAATAGTCGAGCGGCGGTGGGATTCGAACCCGCGTTCCTCGGATCTCGAGTCGGCCACTCCGACCCCTTCACCGTTCGGCTATCGAGGCTATAAGATTTTTGTGTCATCTGTCCACCTTGCAGAACTGCCTAGCAGACGCAAATTCCGCGTCCATCTCTCAAGATTCGGCCACATTAACCGCGATGTTGGTATGGCCATGGGCGGTGGTGGGATTTGTCCACCTTGCAGGTATACAGGAATACTTAAAAATATTTATTTACCGAACATCTTAGATTGTAACTCTGTCCAATAACACTTTTAATGAACGTCTCAAACTTTTCCACTTTAGTAGGTTATATTTAGTCCCAAACTTTTCCAGTTATTATTTGTCAGTTGCCAATTAATTATTGCTGTGTTATTCAAATTTGTGTTTGCGCCAAAGAAATTTAATTATACTTTAAAATTTGTCCAGCTTGTAAGGAACTTTCGAGCGATATTCAATTAAAGTTCGTCAGGTACGCGCTGGACTGCAGCTCTCGGAAATGAAAACAAAATTAAATCTCAAAATAAAAATGTGGATCATGCCAGGACTTTTAAAATTGGTTGATAAATTATTAGCTAGGTAAACAAGCCTTCGTAAATCTTAATAAAATTCATAAACTTTGATTAGTGACGTCGAGGGCAATGACGCCGTTGATAAGCTTGGTTCTATGTAGGTGAAGGTTGGGTATTTTATGAATTAATGTGAATGGGTTTTCTTTGACTACTAACAGAAGGCATAGGTAAGCCGGTTCTATACATTTAGTTTGAGGCACTGAAGTCTAGATATCTAATTGTTCAGTAAAAAAAAGATTACGTGGTTTCTAGGGTGTCGTTGTTATTTCTATGGACAATTATTCTGTTGGTCATTGTAGTGTTTAAAATCATGCAATTATTACCTACACGGCAGAAGAATTCGAGTCATAGTATTATTGGCAATCAGTCTTAAAGTATGCGTTTTTATCAAGCTTAACTTCCAGTTCGTTGGGTTTGTTTTCGCAGCAGTTGTAGAACAATGGTATCCATTTCGCAAAGGATAACGCTTGTTCAGAGCTCAAGTTAATTAAGTTCGTAATCAGACTGCGCCGCTCCGCCTCTCCGTCATCGTCGGCGCTCTCATAACGGACGCTTAGGTCTCGTCGGCGGAGCGGCGACTTCACGAAGCTATTTCCTTAGCGATTTACAACTAAGATTAATTACAGCCCTGTTGCCAGGCAACAACTTGAGCAGGTTAAGTATTCTTGTCGGAATTATTTACTAAGATGAAGGTAACTGAAACTTACTAAAATATGAATAGACTTCTACAAAACTGACAACTGACTACAAATCTTAATAACTTTAAAATTCTTAAAGTTATGAGACATAACCGATTCTTTTGTACTTAATAAAAAATAGTTGTTAAATTGTATACTTTAACTCAGAAACACAAAATAATGGTTGTACTTATTAGTGTTGTGTGTTCTACATGAATAATGTATCGTGATCGCGAGAAGAAAGAATAAAACGTTCAACCCATTTTCGTGAGCACATTGCGCGCGGACACAAAGGTGTGATTGTCGCGGCGCGGCGCGCTCCGGCCGGCTCCGGACCCGGCGGTATCAAAAACGCATTACGAATCGTTAACAGTTGTCGCACGACACGTCGCGAGCTGCTGAGGGACCGGAAGTAAGATCACTTCCGAAAATGGCTTCTGAAGCACCAGATGCGTGAATATTTGAGACGTTTGCTTTGTTCGTCGAAAAACAGTTTAGTTTTACGACTTCAACATTTCAAAAGGAAGATTAGAAAATGTGAAAGTTTTCGCAGTGAAGGGAGGCCTATTGGCTGGTTTTAGTGTCACGTGGACCGTCCGGTGCGTACCCGCTCCGCACGGCCAATTTGTATGAACTTCTAGGGAGCGTTTTAGAGTAATTCGGTCCGGAGGAACCGCTCCGCTCCCTAGCAGTTCAGACAGATCGGCTGTGCGGAGCGATCCGCACTGACAGTCCGCGTGACACTAAAACCAGCCTATGTTCAGATGTGGACGTTCTGTGGCTGAAATGAAAAAAAAAAGGGCATGGTGAACGGAAGGCAAACAGCAATTATTATTACCTAGGTACTCAGTGTATGCTTAAATGTTGTTGCACGATGTGCCTTTACCCATAATTGTGTTCGCTCAGAACATGCTGTCTGATATTAAATTATATCAGGCAGCAAACATTTTTGCGGTCGGTGCCGCGGCCGCGCGTGCGGCGCGTGCTGCGGCCGCGGCTTGCAACGCAGCAGTCGCGGGCGCCGAGGCCATTGGTCGCAGCTGTTAGCCCGCGGTTTCTAATGAAAACAATATTCGTACTGCGTAATATTATTTTAAAAGCTATACATCAAACATGGTTATTAGGCTTGTTAGAGCAATACATAAAAATAGCTTGCGATTTCGGAGCACAAGGGCTACCTGTATCAGCTATCCACTAGTACATACCTACATCTACTCGAAGATTACTTTTTTTAGTTTTTTTTATGGGACAGGGGGCAGACAAGAAGACGGATCACCTGATGGTAAATGATTACCGTCGCCCATAGACACCCGTAGTCCCGATGTCGCAGTTATTGACAAAATGTGAGAGTAGGTACCTACTCTCTTTTCACTTTAACTCAAATACCTTTTTGTCACGGTAATAGGTACTATCATACAGTATTGTAACTTCATATAAACGGACGAAATGCGAGCTTTCCTTCGAAATTCAAATCTCGGTATGCGCTCGACATGCAAAAGTCGGGGGTGTCGCGAATGTGCCACAGTAATAAACGGACGATGTGTTGTTTTTTAAACAGTAAGCGCTCTTCTATATATTATAATATAAAAGAAAGTCGTGTTAGTTACTCCACTTATAACTCAAGAACGGCTGAACTGATTTAGCTGAAAATTGTCAGGGAGGTAGTTTAGAGCCAGGAGAAGGACATAGGATACTTTTTATCCAGTTCGAAATAAAATAAAAGTCTGCTTATTTATTGCCATTAAGGCGGAACAAAGTTCGCCGGGTCAACTAGTTTTTTTATAAAAATAATTACTAGTACCTATTTATACAGGGTGTTAGGTAAATGATTTATAAGCCTATACTAGCCCATGTTAACATATGCATATAAATGGTATAGTGAAGTCAGTGATATTTCCCTACAAAATACATTTTATAAAATCAGATTTGTATAAAAATTTAAAATTATTAAAATGATGATATGAATTTTCTGACTTCCCCCATACCATTTATATGCACATGTTAACATGGGCTAGTGTCAGCTTATAAACCCATTATCTAACACCCTGTATATACATTTTACATACATTACAAGTACGGTCGCAAATTTATAAGATTATTTGTTACTAAATCTTTACACAAATATATTTTAAATTAAATTTACTAATCAGAAAACAACATGCATTTTTATCCTATTTCATTCACAAAGTTATTTTGTTTGTCAAAATAAAAAAAATTACAATCACAAAACTAGATAGAAATTCTAAGTAGGCAGATGTAATGAAAATAGGGTCTACAGGTGGGCAGCCCTATCGGATGTTGTCATACGGTGACGTACCCCGCGGCTGTTGACATTTATTTAAAAAATATGGCCGAGTTGGAATACTGTATAGATAGTATTACCGTGTTTTTGTTGTCCAGTCACTTCGCTTCTTGCTGAAATAACATTACGTACGGATGTGTTTCATAGGCGATTTGATTTCTAAGTCAACATGATTCTGATCTAATTATCGAAAATCTATATTCTTTGCACTTCGTTCGTTTTGCGACG